CACGAGAGAAACCTCCTTCAAGCAAATCCTCCAGCTGTCTTTAACAGTGACGACGAATCGACTCGACAAATATATATAATTAGACAAACTTGCAATCACTCTTTGTCAGACGGAGCAAAATGCATCAAACGTTAATTCTTACTGTTCAATTTCCAGAAGTTTCTCAGATTTCTTTTCAGTTTCAAAGTGATGAAAACATTTAATTCAGGTCAACGTTTTCATTTCAACTGTGACTGCTGACTTAATCCCACAATACACGTGCAACACAAAAGGAAAGTAAAAACTTTCATAAATATATTAAAACATTTAGTGCAAGACAGGAATATCATTATATATATATACATATATATATATATATATATATATATATATATATATATATATATATATATATATATGTACATGTATATACATGTATATATCTGTGTGTGTGTGTGTGTGTGTGTGTGTGTGTGTGTGTGTGTGTGTGTGTGTGTGTGTGTATGTGTGTGTATGTGTGTGTGTGTGTGTTGTGTGTGTGTGTGTGTGTGTGTGTGTGTGTGTGTATGTGTGTGTGTGTGTGTGTGTGTGTGTATGTGTGTGTGTATGTGTGTATGCGCATGTATGTGTGTATGCATGTATGTGTGTATGTATGTGTGTATGCGTACGTGTGTGTGTATGTACGTGTGTGTGTGTGTGTGTGTGTGTGTGTGTGTGTGTGTGTGTGTGTGTGTGTGTGTGTGTGTGTTGTGTGTGTATGTGTGTGTGTGTGTGTGTGTGTACGTGTGTGTGTGTGTGTGTGTGTGTGTGTGGTGTGTGTGTGTGTGTATGTGTGTATGTGTGTACATACATACATACATACATACATACATACATACATACATACATACATTCACACATGCATGCATACATACATACCACACACACACACACACACACACACACACACACATATATACATATACATGTATATACATACATACATACATACATATATATATATATATATATATATATATATATATATGTATATATACATGTATATATCTGTGTGTGTGTGTGTGTGTGTGTGTGTGTGTGTGTGTGTGTGTGTGTGTGTGTGTGTGTGTGTGTGTGTGTGTGTGTGTGTGTGTGTGTGTGTGTGTGTATGTTGTGTGTATGTGTATGTATGTGTATGTATGTGTGTGTGTGTATGTGTATGTATGTATGTGTATGTATGTGTATGTACTGTGTATATGGTGTGTATTGTATGTGTGTATGTGATGTATTGTGTGTGTGTGTGTGTGTGTGTGTGTGTGTGTGTGTGTGTGTGTGTGTGTGTGTGTGTGTGTGTGTGTGTGTGTGTGTGTGTGTGTGTGTGTGTGTGTGTGTGTGTGTGTGTGTGTGTGTGTTGTGTGTGTGTGTGTGTGTGTGTGTGTGTGTGTGTGTGTGTGTGTGTGTGTGTGTGTGTGTGTGTGTGTGTGTGTGTGTGTGTGTGTGTGTGTGTGTGTGTGTGTGGTGTGTGTGTGTGTGTGTGTGTGTGTGTGTGTGTACATGTGTGTATGTGTGTATGTGTGTACGTGTGTATGTGTGTACGTGTGTGCATGTGTATGTGTGTGTCCATGTGCATTTGTGTTTGTATGTTTGTTTATATGTGTAAAAAAAATAACAGACCACGTATGCACACATGAAAGTCGCAAACAAACACACAGTCATAATAATCATAACCACAGCTGCAAGAACCAAATCAAGATCAACACATAGCCAGCATAACCGCAATGTCAATAGCACCATTAACAAACAAATAACAAAACCCAAAACGAAGATTAGTGTATGCCTTTGCAGAGAGAGAGAGAGAGAGAGAGATTTCTGGGCTCGTCATGACCGCAGAGAATGACGCCGGGAGCAACCTGGGAAGCATTAAGCATTGCAGGCATATCCTCCGCGTATGCCTCCGTCCTTGCGCTGACGACGCTCTGGCAATGGGGGAACTGACCTCGAATTATAAATGCCATAAATGCCTGGTTCACGAATTTCGGAGGAAAAATTTGGATACTGTTTCATAACGCTTAGAGAACAACGTGTGTGTGTGTGTTGGGGGGGGGGGGGTGCGTGCGCGTGCGCGTGCGTGTGAGTGTGTGTGTGTGTGTGTGTGTAATTATTAGTTACCTCAATAATATTCGCCAGAACTTTCGAAGCGATAAATCTTTTGTCACATCGTAATCGCCGTGTTGTCACCAAGACATTAAGTATTTTTCCTGTCACGATTCTCTCTTTGACGCTTGCCTGTAGGTAACCTGAATTTCCCCTTCCGTGTTATTATTCTAGTATATCTATATCTTTCTACAAATGTGTTTATATGTTAATATAACATCTGTGTGTGTGCGTGTGTGTGTGACCCAAAGGATCAAGGATCTACTCCGCTTGAGGCTAACGTGGTCGAGGCCGTCGGCCACGCTTTTGGAGGATGCCTCTTACCTATCTTCCTACCTACCCTCAGCGCCTCGCCATCCGCTTGCGCTGTTGCTTCTCCAAACATAGAACGCAACGGTTATCTACACCCTCCCCTCCCCTCCCTGTCCCCCACCCACCCACGCCCACTACTCCCTCTTCCGTCAGCCCGAGAGCCGATCGGGCGCCGGCCGGGAGAAGGGGCGACGCGGGCGGCGAAAGTGAACGCGCACGAAGACGAAAGTTGGGCGGATTCACATATTATCTGCGGGTTGCGGAAGAGGGATGGTGGCAGAGAGAGAGGAGGAGGAGGAGGAGGGGGGGGAGGATAAGAAGGAAAGCGCAAGATGAGTGGGAAGAATGGGGAAAGACTGAAGGATTGGGAAATATGCGGAGAGGATTAGGGAGTGGGTGGAACGGAAGGGAGAAGGATGGAGAACAAGAGAGGGAGTGGGGCTAGGGGAAGGAGGAGGGGGTGGAGGTAGCGGAAGGAGAAGAGAGTGGGGGTAGGGGAAGGAGGAGGGAGAGGGGAGCAAGAGCATGGAGAAAGGGAACGAGTGGAAGAAAAACAGGAGTAGGTGGAACGAAGAGAAAGGAGCGGGAGTGACAGGAAGGAGGGAATAGGTGGAGAAATGAGAAGGGGGGACTATGGAAATGACCGCCCACCCTCACGCAACTCGAATGAGACGAGCGACAAGGATGCGGATTCCCCTGGGTCAAAGTAGGTGAAATGATTCTAATCTCTCAGTCTCTTAGTGTACTTTGGTTAAATATTCCTATTGTGAAAATATCAAAGAGAGATTACCATTCTCATCCCATCTAGATTTTCAAATCGATTGTAGGAATTCCTTTCCGACTAAAAGAAAATGAAACGCCTTTAAAAAAAAAATAAACTCACCTTCTCAACGCACTCCTGAGAACCACAAAGAACTGATAAAGAATATCCTCTTTTTATATCCCGTGTACAAAGGAAGCATCGGATTGCACCTTCCTGAAGTACTCTGAATTAAAGTACTCGACAACGCCACAAGACGCGTACTTCCTGCTGCAGAACCCGGAAAGAAGAGGGAAAAACGTGGGTCCGCCGCCCTTACACGATCACTCGCGCTTGTAATAATACACACGCGAAAATATTCTCAGAAATCTACCCCGCTATGATAGTTGTGCGACTTAAAAGGAAGCGAGACTTCCCAGCTAGCACCTACTTATAGACTTGTGTACTTACACTTACGTACACGCAGGCACACGTTTATATATATATATGAAAAAAAAATATGCGGGATTGGATCTTACGCAAGTGCTAAATAACAACGAGTGTCGCTCATGGTCTTCTGTGTGGTGTGTGTGTGTGTGGGGGGGGGGGTGCGTACGTGTGTGCATGCGCGTGTATTAGAATGTGTATCTTTATTCATCTTTTGTCTTTCTTTGAATCTTTATTCATCTTTTGTCTTTCTTTGACTTCCTTGTGTGTGCACCCGCGTGTGGATGTGTACATAATTCAATAAAACAGACAGAGAAAGAAACACCAAAATATTTGCGCGGGAACATCTGGGCAGCCCGCACTCTAAAAATACTCGATTTCTTTTGAAGATGAAAACTTGCCATCCTCACAACGCTGAGAGGGTTTCCACTTGGAGTGAAGATGCTCTTCTTCAGAATTCAAAAAGAGCACAAAAAATATTGCCTTTTCTACCAAAGAAAAGAAAATATTTACCTCAGACCAGCCGCACACTGACGTGTCCGGGGACCTTCCTACGCCGGCTCCTTCGGCTTTGCTTTTTGACAAAAATGAGAAATGCTAAATCGAATTACGTACTTTTGCCTTTTTTTCTTTTTCTGATTCGCTGGCATCTCCTTCTGACGTTGTATTCCGTACACATTTTTCTTCTTTGGATTAAAATGTTTTTGTAAAACTTGGTAACAGCAATAATTTCTTACTTTTAGTTGCGGCAGCAGTAATAGTAAAAACCGGAATCACATCGATAGCAAGAACAAAACTGGTAATGGTAGTAATAACAACAGTAAAGTGAACAGATAAAGAAATACACTGAACAATTGCAAAACAATACATAAAGGCTAAATTGGGTCTTGGGTCAGCGGGAGACAAGGCATACGTAGCATTCCTGAGCCCGTGTGTCGTAAGGACACAAGCGCAGCCCGCCTTGGCCGTGTACGTGCGTGCGTGCGTGCGTGCTGACCTTCGTGATCAGCAGTACAGTGAGCCACAAACGAGTCATGCTTGACCAAAGCTGACAGTTCATGGCAAGAGAAAGGAGGCTTTGACAGTTCTACACGCAACAATGGATTTATGACTGATGTCAGTCAAATACTGACTCGGTGTGCGAATCGCAGATTAATTAGGTGTGATCAATTTCTGATCCTCCGTCCACTTCTATCCCTCATTCGCCACGCCTTTCTGTCCTTAATCTTCCCTCTTTCCACTTTCCTACTATAGGGAAAATTAATTGCACAAGCGGAGCAGACACCCACCCACACCCCACTGAACGCACATAACGGGGTTGCTCAGGTTGTGGATTTCTCCGAGGAGTGAGCCGAGTTCGATCAGCTGTCGCTATCCAGATGACGCAATCATGTTACTCCCGCGGGCGTCCTTACACACGGGCGGAGTATCGCGTCCGTAAGTAGCAACACTCGGCCCCTAGAAAGGAGTTGCGGCCACCACACTTTCTATCAACAAGGCATTTCTCCCACGCTGCCTTGCACACCCATGGTTAAACTTAAACACCTCACAAAGTTGTTGGTTTTAACTCCCTTAAGAAACACGCAAACGTATTCGTTCACGCTTTTTACACAACACTCACTCACATTAATATTTAAGTCGAAACTCAAAACATGCAAATAACTATGAAACGGCCTTCATCACCTCAAAACACACTTAACCGCAACACGAGGAAAGAAAATCGAAAAATCTTTGCTAAAACTTCATCCCACCTCCCCTCCCCCCCCTCCTCTAGACACCAAATAATTTAGTTTTCCCCGCCACGTTTCCTGAGCCTCAAAAAAAAAAAAAAAAAAAAAAAAAAAAAAAAAAAAAAAAAAAGTATATATACTATATTCTAACGCCTGCCTTGGGGGGAAGCTCGGAACAGACCATCGGACTAGTCCATGTGAATTTCGCAAGTTCACCAAAAAAA